ATGACAAAAGGTTGGAATTTGTTGGATATGATGGCAAGGCAAATGTGCAGGTCAGGGTGTCATCGTCTGCTTTGCCTGTTTTCAATGGCCTGGGAGCATACTTCCAGAGTTTGTTTTGCTTCTGGGGTTAAGGATCGAATAGATGTGAGAGTTGGGTCACCTTTAAATAACTCAAAGAGGGGATGTAATTCCTCTGTTGTGATCCCTAAAACAGGCCTTAGCCAGTTAATGGCTCCCAAAAGTCGTTGCAAATTATTTAGGGTTATAGTGTCCATTAGCTTGAAAGTCAGTGGTTGTGGCATGATCTCCTGTTGAGTGATCCTCCATCCTAGGTAGGTCCATGGCTGGGTGCGTTGAATTTTTTCTGAAGCAATCTGTAGACCTGCTTTCGGAATGGCGTCAGTTAAGGCAGTCAAGGTAGATTGTAGTTCACTCTCGTGTTTTGCGGCTATTAGGATATCATTTATATAATGGTAGATGATAGCTGAAGGGTGGAGTTTCTGAACAGGGTGTATGATGTTGGCTACCACTGTTGTAGGCTGGAACTGAGAAGTTGAAGCGAGGAGCATCTTCTGGATGTAAAAAGATGGTAAAAAACCAGTCTTTCAAGTCTATTACCACTAGTGGCCACCCTGCAGGAAGCATGGCAGGGGAAGGAAGTCCTGGTTGCAGTGTTCCCATTGGCTCAATAACTGTATTAATCGCTCTGAAGTCTTGTAGTAAACACCATTTGCCGCTCTTCTTGAGTATGCAAAACACTGAAGTGTTCCATGGGCTAGAAGTTGGTACTATATGCCCAGCGTTCAGCTGTTCCTGTACGAGGTCTCGCAGGTGACCTAGCTGTTCCCTCTTTAGGGGCCATTGGTCCACCCATATCGGGTTGTCTGTCTTCCATTCTAGTTTGATGAGTCCATGGAACGGCTGACCAATGACCCTTACTGAAAAACCTGATTATTTGTTGTTGCTATCTGTACAGTGGTACCAAACTGACCGAGGACATTCCTCCCCCACAAGGTACACGGAATGGGAGCTATGAAGGGTGCAATCCTGGCAGTCTGTCCCTCAGGCCCCAATACCGTACGTAGATGCTTGCTTTGTCTAGGTCTTTGCATACCCCCCACCGCCAAGACGGTCGAGGCTGGGAACACTGTGGGCCAGTCTGATGGCCACTCGGTGTCTTTAATTATAGACACCTCTGCGCCTGTATCCACTAAACCTTTAAATTTACGCCCATCAATGTGACATGTCATCATGGTTTGGGAGGCGGAGATCGACGTGGGCCAGAGGATTTGTGCTTACAAATGCCTCAGTACCCTTATTACCCTTTTGTGTGGGAGAAATGCTATAGAAAGGAATTAATTGAGCTAAGTGCTGCCCCTTTGGAATATAACAAGGTGGTACAGGTGTCCAGGCCATGATTTGGATTTCATTATGGGAATCTGAATCAATTACGCTGGGCAAGATGAACATACCCATCGTGGTAGTTGATGAGTGCCCAATTAGTAAGGCATGCATTCCCGCCTCCAGAGGTCCCCAGACTCCAGTGGATATCAAAACCACTGCAGCAGATGTTAAAACTATTGGTTCTCTGGAGGCCAGGTCCAGCCCAGTGCTGCCTGAGGTGGCGGCAAGCAAATCACTGACGCGTTGTTTGAATCTGTATTTGTCTGGTTGGTGAGGGCGCGTGGCTTCGTACCCCGTTTCCCTGCGGTGTAGTCCCCTCTTTTTCACTACCCTGGAACTTGCATTCGCTAGCCCAGTGTTTTCCCTTTCCACATCTGGGGCAGTGTCCTGGAGGGGGTTTTTTAGAGCAGTGTCTTTTGATACGGTCAGTTGCTCCGCATTGGAAGCAGCTGCCTTTTCCCTTTTCCCCTTCGGGTACCCGCAGTTTGGCTGCTAATGCCATGGCTAGTGAGTCTGAGTGGTGATTGACTGACCCAACATCCTGGCAAGCTCGGACCATTTCAGCTAACGTGCACTGGTCGCGCTTGGGGATCGACTGCAGAGCCCGTCGAGAGTCAGAGTTGGCATTGTCGTAGGCGAGTTGCCTGAAGAGCATCTCTCTCGCCTTGTCGTTACCAATTTGCCTCTCTAAGGAAGCTTGCAGTCAATCTAGAAACTGGGGGTGAGGTTCAGTGGACCCTTGCAAAACTTTGGAAAAGGATAGGTTAGAGCCTTTGTCTGTGCATGGGAGTTTTCGCACTGTTCGCAATACAAGCTTTGCGATTACTTCGTATATTTCTCGGGGGTAGTCTATTTGGGACCTGGGCTTTGAACGTGCCCCCTCCCCTGCTAATTGAGCATAGGTCATTCCCGTTTGTTAGTTTGGTCATTAATATAAGCCTTACAGCTTTCTCTAAAGTTCGTGAGCCAGACACTAAACTGTGTAGCAGTTAGTACCATTTTTAGTAGTGCCTTCCAGTGCAAACACATGTGTGCTACTTAGGGTTTCTAGGCAGGAAAACATGTGGGGCGAGACCCTCCATCTCTCACCTGCCATTGGTGTGGCACTCTTGGCACTATGTGCACAGCAAGAGCTTTCTGGGCGGGCACCTTTGGTCTGGGAGGAATCTTCATCCGTATTAAATTTTGGCCCTCAGATGGCTGATTTCGGCTCGGTGCTCCTTCACGCGAACGACTGCTGTTCCAGCCAGGAAAAAAAGGCCTGACCCTCCGTCTCTCACCTGCCGTTGGTGTGCCACTGTCTGCACTACATGCACAGGAAGAGCTTTCTGGGTGGGCACCTTTGGTCTGGGAGGAATCTTCGTCTGTATTCCATTTTGACCCTCAGACGGCTGATTTAGGAACAGGGCTCCTGCCCTCAAACAACTGCCCTTCCAGCCAGGAAAGAAAGGCCTGACCCTCCGTCACTCACCTGCCATTGGTGCGCCACTCTCGGCATTATGTACACAGCAAGTGCTTTCTGCCCGGTCAGATTCCTCCAAGACCAAAGGTGCCTGGGCAGGAAGCGCTTGCTGTGCCTGTTGTGCCGAGAGTGGCACAACAACTGCACACAAGAGACGGAGTTTGATGGCTTTCTTTCCTGGCTGGAAGGGTTGTCATTGACCGGCCAGCGTGCCACGATGGGCTAAAATTGAATATGGGTATAGATTCCTCCAAGACCAAAGGTGCCTGGGCAGAAAGCGCTTGCTGTGCATGTAGTGCCGAGAGTGGCGCAACAACTGCACAGGAGACATGGAGGCTCAGGGCTTTCTTTCCTGGCTGGAAGGTCAGTCTTTCGCTGTCCAGTACGCCGCTTCGCAAGGGACCGTCTGAGGGATAAAACTGAATACAGACGGAGATTCCTCCAAGACCAAAGGTACCCACGCACAAAGCTCTTGCTTTGCATGTAGTGCGGAGAGTGGCGCAGGAACTGTACAGGAGAGATAGAGGGTCAGGGCTTTCTTTCCTGGCTGGAAGGGCAGTCGTTTAATGGGAATCGCGCTGTGCCGCACTCGGCCATCTGAGGGCCAAAACTGAATACGGACGAAGATTCCTCCCAGACCAAATGTGCCTGGGCAGAAAGTGCTTGCTGTGCACGTAGTGCCAAGAGTGGCACACCAGCTGCACAGGAGAGATGGAGGGTTTGCGGGGCGGGCACCTTTGGTCTGGGAGGAATCTTCGTCCGTATCCAATTTTGGCCCTCAGCCGTCCCCCAGCGGCGCGGCGCGCCGGCCTGTGAACAACTGCCCTTCCCGGCCGGAAAGAAAGGCCTGAGCCCCCCTCTCTCATCTGCTGTTGGTGCACCACTTTCGGCAGTACGTGCACCCTATCTGGAAAATAAAATACAAAAATGCACAAGATAAAGGACTTCTATGCATAAAATTTGCATCTTTCATCCAACACCTAATACAACCTTCTTCCTAGGCTGGTTCAACTTTTCTCGGTCTGGGGTACATCGTGTCCACTTATCTGGGGGAAAAAAAGAAAAAAAATGTTAATCAGGTCACCCACATGGTCACTGAGACCTTAACCATTTAAAAGATCTCATTTACGCTGAGCAAATGAGAACTCTGACCGCAGCATACAAGTAGAAAAATGAGAACCCAGCTTCAAGGCCCTGCTATCCAAGTACCATCAGCTCCACAACACTCAGCTCTAATGACTGCACACGAGTTACGGACACCTGCTCCATCCGGCAGGACTGTACAGCCATCGGCTCCACTGTCTAAGGTAACTGACATGTTGACGTGAGACTCGGAGCAATATTCCATCTACCCACTGATCCACATGGCAGGGCAGAGCAGCTCCAGGCTGACCCCGAGTCAGACATCCTGTACCCGTGACGACACAGACCGTGTGACACAATTAAGAGACGAACCTTGCTTTGACAAGATTTGATTGCAAGAATGGAGATGCTGTGGAACACCATGACCTACGGGACTACCGTCATAACGTGACTAGGCTCAAAGGATCCTGACAAATAAAGATGCTAACAAGATGACCGGTCAGAAGAAGGGTCCGTCAAAACCCTGAAGATGGATGCGCGGCGTCACTGCGTTCGGAAGCTAAGAACGGAACGATGCGGAAAACGAGTCCTCCTGCTTTAAGATGGATGGCTGCAGAGCACCGCTGATGATACGGCCTGGAATGAGGCCTTAAAAGAGGTCTGACCATAAAAGTCAGAGATGGGATTCCAAAGAAGGCCTGAACTTCCAAAGGAAGTGACTGACAACTTCGGAGCTCGGCTACACAGAGAAGACCTTCAAGAACCTAAGGATGATGCCTGATGCTTCCCATAAGCCCCTCGAGGGCAAGATGCAAAAACCCTAAGGACACAAAACACAGACAAGACAAAGGACGTGACACAGACTGGAACTGCTCTGCCCTGCACACGGGAATCCAATGATACAAAGTAAGCCCTTCCTTTGATGCGTCCAAATAACCTGTAATAGGATACCCATTGCACCAAACTAATTTCAAAAATCCCTCTGGGCGATGCACATACTTGCACCAACTACCCACCCCATCTCTGGGTCTTTACCCTGCACTTATCTTTCTGAGAGCCGGGGATGCAAATCCGTCTCTGATGCAAAGGAGGGGCACCTGGGCTGGCTCAGAGGTTCCTGCCATCCTGAGAGTACTCGGAGTCAACTACGAGAAAGAAAACCATACACAATATCTGAGTAGTGTGGCACGTGGCCCCAGCCCCAAAGATCCCTCTACTCACTGTCACTGAGGCAGGTCCTCGGGTCACCGGCTCTGACCGGAGTTGGACAATGTGCTGTCATCTTCCGGGATACCTGAGCGAGCAAGAGACAAAATTAGAGGGCATTTCTAAAGCTGCAATGGATCCCTGCTCCTCCTGCTGCCTCCCCAACTCACCTCAAATGCTCATCTGCTCCCAAAGGTTAGCCGGATGGCACCTGCAACCAAAAAAGCTCAATGCTTCATTGCTTGTAGCGGCACGTGTACCGCTGCCTTTATATGATAAAGAATAACTACACTCTCTCCAGAGCTGGTGGAATCAGAGAGCCTTTATTCGAATTCCCCGCTCCCTTTTATATCCCATAACCATGTAATCCCTTTATCCAATGGGTGTTGTGAACCTCGGCGCATGCTCTTTGGGCCTCTCTGCCCTGGTACATTCCCCTGTACCCCAGACACGCCCCTACAGTTGCTGATCCTTTTAATACTCGGAGATTACCTATAAGGACAGCTCAAGAGGACCGAACCGTGTCCGTCACCTCATTGTGAGTTGGCTTTGGCCCTGTGAGGCTGCATATGTCTCCTGCAAAAAAAAACCCAGAGGCAAATGTCAGTACTGAGATACTGTCCAAGAGTGTGCTGCTCCCATGGCAGTTTCGGTCTGACACCCCTTGACCGTGACCTCTTACAGGCAGGGTCCCCGTCACGTTGGACTGCACGTTAGAAGTCTGCCTCTAAAACAAAAAACCAAGTATGTATGCAGATTCACCAGAAGTACACCGCCTGCAAAAAAGCATCTAGTTCTGTTCTGCAGTCACTGCTCACCTTGCTCACTGGGCTCACCTTCCCTCTGGTGCCTATTGTCTGCTGGGACGGGGGCTCCGCATCTTAAAAAAAACCCATAAAAACAAAACTAAACCACCAAACCATCCAAAGGCCCCAAAGTCATGTCTTGGCTCTGACCTCACGTGACAACCCACCTTCTGATTGTGCTCCTCCCACCTCTTCTGTTTATCTCTGCTTTACATCCAGTCCCTCTGACACTGCAAAGAAATGAGTTAGCAAAGTCAGCCATATAGATGGAGGGACC